TGAAGGCCAGCAGGGCATGCTCACGGGTCTGGCCGTTCTTGGAGATACCGGCCTCAAACTCACCAACACCAGCAGCAACGATCAGCACAGCGCAGTCAGCCTAAAATAAAATTAGATTTGAAGTTTTTATGTTGACAGAAGACTTATGGATCAAAACTTGAACGTGCCATTTATTAATATGATAACTTACCTGAGAGGTACCAGTGATCATGTTCTTGATGAAATCCCTGTGTCCAGGGGCATCAATGATGGTCACGTAGTACTTGGCAGTCTCAAACTTCCACAGAGCGATGTCGATGGTGATACCACGCTCACGCTCTGCCTTCAGTTTGTCCAACACCCAGGCGTACTTGAAGGAGCCCTTGCCCATCTATTGAAAAGGGATTAATTGGGACACATTAGATAGAATTCTTCAGCCTCTAGAAAACGGTCAATTGGAGAACATTTGCAAAATGTCAAGAATTGATCATATGTTTGCTATAAATTGTACACGATGAACTGTTTTAAGATAGATACTCTCTTAAATTAATGCATTTTTGGCAGTAGTGTATAAGCCCATTATTATTTAAAAACAAAAAATGGTAATTTTTTTTATTATAAATGGTTGTCAGCATCAGGCTGTGTAAAGTGCACAGTCACAAGCAACGCTGCTCCCGTTAGGCCCCACCCCGTGCGTGCGCGCTCACGGTTCATTCTCGTGCTGGGCAGTAGCGGCTCAGGGTGGGCATGCTGGTGCCGCCATCTTGGCTGTATTATAACGGTGTAAAAAAAAAATAGACATAGCCGAATTGCTCACCTCAGCGGCTTCCTTCTCGAACTTCTCGATGGTTCTCTTGTCGATTCCTCCGCATTTGTAGATCAAATGACCGGTGGAAGTGGACTTGCCGGAGTCGACATGGCCAATGACCACGATGTTGATGTGGAACTTTTCCTTTCCCATTGTTGTAGTTTCTGTCAACAAATAAAAATAACCAAGAACGTTAAGAAATGTATCAAGTGGAAGTGCGCCATCATTTATTAGCCTTGTTAATGGCAAATTAAAGGGCGGTAATGAACCATGATGACCCGGGCCCAGATTAATGTTAACACCCGTCAGGCAGTTTATTCAACTTCTTTTAAAAAGAAAACCCGACACGAACATTGAAATAGATAACAAATCATTCAAACCACTTAACATGCAATACATTTATCGTTTTGTGTTAACGTCATTCTGTCCATGGTTTGGGCAGCTAGCAAGCGGCTACTGCTGCTAGGCCTCACTCGGCCACAAGCCCGACAGAGACACGTGTTACACTATGGGCCACGTCGTATTAAGTTACAAAGACTGCCAAATATTTAGAAGCTATTGTGCTAGGCCCCCACCGCCTGTCACTGGATAATATGTGCAGTTGTTAAATGAAGAGGGGGGGAAAGAAATACTATTACAGCATCCCCGGTTCTCCGCTTTCAAGTCCCCTCTTTGTTCCTTCCTCCACACTCGGTACACCCGCATTAACCGCCTTTGTTTCAACTTAATACAGGATCAAACAAACAAAAACACAAAACACGCTCAAACTAGAATACCCAGTTATAACGATCCTTTACATGTACCGGTAATTTCTTCACACAAAAAGCCACAGGTTTGAGTTAAGTTACATAACCGAAAAAACATTTTAAATAAAAAAACTCACATTTTCAGAGAGTAAACTCCTAGCTAAATCTAATCCCGCGATAAAAGTATTGAAAGGCCTCAGTCAAAGTTGAACTTACCGGTGTTTCTGGGTTTACACGGCCAATGCTGCTGCCCCTAGCCAGGTAACAGAAAGAGAAGGGAAAAAGGGTTGGACTCTGGGTTTTATACTGACTGGGAGGCGGCCTGACTTCCCGTCGCTCTCCTCCGCAAATCACACACATTCCTGCAAAAAACGTCAGCACGTCACTGGATGAACCGCATGAAACATGCATGATGCGTTCACCAGACATTGTGCATATTTTAGAGATGAAACTTACGATAACAGCGATACACTTCTTAACTGTTGCAGACATGTTAAATATATCGAAAACAGAGAGTAAAATAACACACGTTGTCATGTTTATGGGTTATTTCACCCTCAACCTTTTGAGTTAATCCATCAGTTATTTTACAAGTTTATTTTTACTTCCTAGTAGGACATTTGTCAACCATTGAGACAATATAAATAAATTATGTAATCCAGAAATATTATTTAAAAAAACGGTGTAAATATAACACATAAAACAGATATTTCTCTGCATATTGAGAAGTGATTTTTCATCATTAATATAAACAACAATAGGAAAAAATAACAATTTCAGACCATAACAGCACATTTGTCAAGTTGAAGGGTTATTTTACTGGCAACTTGTTGAGTTCATCCATCAACTGTTTCATACGTTTTTATTGACTTCCTTTTACGACATTTTTCCACCATTAACACAATATGAATACATTATATATCATATTCTATTTACGTGTAGATAGACTCCTTGCACTATTTTTTATTTGTATTTTTGTATTTTATCATGTTGCATAGTTGGAGGAACTTGTGTCAAAACATTTTCATTGCCATTTCTACATTGTAGTTTATGTGCATATAACATTAAAACCTTTGAATCTTGAATCTTATGTCATGCAAAAAAGATTATTAAAATAAAGCTGGTTGAAAACAATACCTTTTTCAAAATATAATACGATAACTGATTTTTTTTTTTATAAAATATACTCCACGTTAAAAAAACACAAGACATAACATATGCCTTCATGACATAGCCTTTATAAAGTTTAATTTTGATTCAGGGATTTATAATTCAACTATTTTATGGTTTGTGTAAATATCATACATAAAACAGATAATTCTTTGAATATGGGGATGTGATTTTCATTTTTAAAAAAAACTATTTCAGACCATAAAACCACAGGGATTTCCCCCTGTCCCACCCCCTTATTGTGATACTGAGACCAATCATCAGCCTGAGAGGATTATCTCAATCTGAATGAGAGATTTGCATTCAAACAGAGCGAAGACCCTGAAAAGAGGAACTCATGCTGTTTTCAAGACCCCTTATCTTGCCAGTCATTTACATTAGGGGCCGACACCTATAAACAACTGATTGAATTAAACATGTTGGTCGCGGGGTGAAGTGTATGCAGGGTCACCTGATTTACTACTTTACAATCAAAAATGATTGTTTGACATCCTCGCTCTTCACCTTTGGTAACTTCACGGTGATTTTTATAAGCATATTGTTTTTTAAAACACTTGCATTTGTATAATGTAGCTAACGTTTTAGGTTAATAAGGAATATTTGATTTATCTTGGGAAAATATACAATCACACCCATATTTTCATCGTAAAGCCATGTTGTCCCTTGGATGCTACTTAAGGGTGAGGGAAGGAGGTCAGATTCTGCCAGCTCTCCCATCACTTGGCATATTTCCCGTATAGAGGCAGCTGGCAGACCCTTCAACCACACAAACATTTTTATACTCGCCCGGGCAAACCCTCCAGTTCAGGTAACAGCACTGGACTTGTTTATAGTTTCTAATTTCCTTGATTGTAAATTAATCCCTGGTACATTCTACTCCTCAAATTCATATTATAAAACCTGTCTTAAAAGGTGAAGAACCACGCTTACAGATCTCATTGTATAAAAGAAAAAGCCTAATGCATTTTTGGTACCTTCTGTCTCCACAGTTCAATGTTAAGAATCTTAAAGATGTGGCCGGAGCAGTTTTGAATTTGCTAGTGAGCAACACTGATTCTGAAATATAGGTTAATGAGGTGCAATGTCTGTATTTTGACTCACATCCGCTTCTTTTCATTAAATCTTGGAAGATAGACAACACACTCATTTTAAAACACAAACACCTATGGTGTAGCTTGTATCATTTGAAAACCTCAAGTGTGACTTTCTCTGGCTTCATGGGAGGTGACTGGTTTTGCGTACAGAAAAGTAAACTAGAGTGTTTTACAGTGAAGCTCTCAATGTGGGTTACATATTTCAGACATGAACTACAACAGGGTCTGTGTGTGTGTGTGTGTGTGTGTGTGTGTGTGTGTGTGTCTGTAAGGTGGAATATGATTGATGACAGCACATCAGTGATGAGTCATCATTTATAGGTGGTGGTTGCAGCAAAGACAGAAATGAACATTATAAAAAATGCTGTTTATTAGTACAGAAAGATTAACACACATAACATTTAATGTATTTTCCAGTACAAGTAATGATTAGAAACGGTCATCAAGAATCCCTTGGATTGGAAGGATTTACCTTCAAACATGAAATCATTCCTTTTCAAAATTCGAAATCAAGTTCCTCTTGCTGCTCAAGATTATTTGACTATGAATAAATATATTTGACTATGAATAAGCCTCTTTCGGCCTTTTGGCCTGAAAACGTAAGCTGTGGCCTGAGGTTCTCAGCTAATGGGCAATTGTAAAACATCCCCACGTGTCTAAACTCCCTGTTTACAGATAAATACTGTCAAACAGCACACATGTAGGGCAGTTAAACTAAACTATGTCTTCTCTAATTTTACAGGGTCAACTAGAGCAAGAAGAGACAACAGGTAAGTTGTACCGAAGAGATGGCTTGAAGCTATTCCAGCCTCCAAAGGGAGGAGCAAAGAAACTGGACCGAGACAGAGGGGAACTCAGTCCTATTTTGTCACAGCAGTATTTTTACCAGTCCATATTAAAAATATCTTTAAAAAAGAAAATAAGACATATTCAGAAGAGTATCTAAAGAATACACACTAAACATCTACAGAATGAATTTGAATACTCTCTTATAAACCAATATACTACTGAAACACTTAAACATAGGGTACTTTAATTAAAGTCAAAGAACTATCCAATTCTTCAATACAGGTAATACAAGATACAACTAAGAAAAACGCACTCTGGTTAAAGTGGTATAAATATGCCACATGTAACGACAGAAGAATGTTGACCTAATATTGGGCTCATAAGCCAGATAAAAGGTTTGGGAACCACTGCTACAATGTATATAAATAATACTTGTAATACAATCACAAATACACTATCTAATCTATCTATCTATATGGGCGACATAAACACAATACTCTGCATGGCATATTCTTTAAATAATAAATGTTATGTGGATCTTGCAAATTCCTTGCACAAGTTAGCCCATTCCTGTAAATGACCACTACTTCTTTAAACTGCACAGCTCTTCCATTATTAATTCAGATATGCTGCACATATTTTATTAGAATATGCCCCTATTTTATTATTAGATTCTACTTTATATCATGGTTTATTGTCCTTTCTTTCATTCCAAATGTGCTATTTTATAATATATATTTGTATATGTTATTTTGTATTTATTTTATTTTGTCAATGCTTGCTTTCATCTAATTTGTCTACTACATTGATGATTTTATGCACCAACATCCCCAAGCGTCTATATGTGAAAATATACTTGGCAATAAACCAGTGGAATTCAGTCTTTAGTGAAACCACTCAGGTGAAAATTTAGACATAGATTTGAAAGATAGACAATGTTTAATCTCATGTTTAATTAATATGCATGGAAACACTATGTAGAATCCAGTATAACAACACAGTTTCTAGTGAGCAGCATTATCAACTGTTTCTTCAGAGTTGTCTTTATCTACCAGATTTAAGAGTCGTGACTGTGTGGGTTCAGGAAAAGAAGGACTGACTGACTGTGATCAATGCCAAGATTGAAAGTCTCCCACAGCTACATGCATAGAATAAGATGAGGATTTAAGATAACGCAATCTACATACCAATGTCAGCACATAACATGTAAATACAATCTTAGCAAGGGACAGTTCATGTGAATAAATCCCATTTACAACACATAGCCAGTTTCACATCTCCTGCAGCCTGCTGGCAGACACCCCCCCCATGCCCCCCCCCTTTTTTCACACTTGCAAACAAAGTGTTCCCTTTTGATTTCCAGGCTGCTATCTGCATTTGTTTAACACCCAAAGTGTTTAGGAGAAATGTTTATCTCATGCATATTACAGCCTCCAGGGTGGGTATGATTGAAACGTTTGCGTGAAACTTTAGGGGCCGCAGGATATTTTTCACCCACCTCTGGCTCCCTCTTTGTCTCTCCCTGTTTGAATTGTCAATTTCTAAGTTTTGTATGTTGGTTTTTACACATATTCTGGTTTTGCATCCGTAACATAACTGTTGTTAAGTCAACTCTGTTAAAAAAAGGTTATGGAATTTTGAGAGGTAAATACACTTTTTAGAATAATCGGGTGTGTTTATTTCTGCTCTGTGCTTGGTAAGTAACATATTGTGTATTTTTCATTAATATTTGAGCTTATTAATGAAAGTACACAAATGTGCACTGCATCCTGCTTCTTACTTAAGTGTTGAGGTTTCTTGTACAGAAATGTATAAACAAATGTCATCATTTTCAAAAGCAAAACCTTTAAAAAGAGCCACTTGCCCCCTTTGCCATCAAAAAAAAGTATATAACACAGCTTATTCAGTTTTATACATAGTTATACTATATAAACAAAACATAGTTAGTTGTTTGTTTTCTAAGGCCGCTGGTCTAAAACGTAGGATGAGCCACCTCCAGGGAAAAGGTACCAGGCAAGAAAGTTGTGACACAACTGTTAGTAATATTATTTTCACATTTTCCCTGAAACTCCAAGATAAAAGGCACTCCTTTCAAACAAATGTCAACTGTTATTTAGTGGCATGTTGTATTTTGTCAAAGCTAACGAGTCACTATAGAGGGGCTCTAGAGCCGCGGGTTGCCTATCCCTGCTCTTTTCAGGTCTTTTTTGTGGTAAAGCAAAAACACTGGAGAAAATTGTGGGAGTACAAAGTAAAAGAACATTCATGTGAAAACAGAGCTCCCAGGCAAACACTTTTACACGTAGTTTGTTATTTTCTGTACACAGACAATGTTTTGTTGTTCTTGTTGGGTGGATGGGGCCTCTCTCTGGGGCCCCTGGGGATATTCAATTCGCAACAATAATGGAAAGGCTTGTCACTTTGTACTTCGATATTTTTTTGAATCACAGTGAAAATTATGTGTATGTATATATTTTGTTGATCCAGCTTTTGAGTCACACACTCAACCTTTCCAAATGATGGGAGTGTCCTCTGTCTTGGATAAAAACAAAAAAGAGTAACAAACTGTCCATGTTAAAGTTACCCACTTTTTAAGTATACATAAAATATATTAGGGGGTTACATTCATTTTTCATGTGCAGAATAAAGGTTCCACATTTACGATAGATTGAATTCGCATAATGAGGAAAACAGCATTATCACCACATCATAACATGACCTAGCTAACGTTAGCTTAGAGATATCTTAAATTAGAAATAATGTTTTCAAACGCAAAAACACCGAGGCCACTACGTTGCTACAGTCAGAAAAGGCATATTTAAGGAAAATATTTACATAAGTGTCTACATAAGTGAGGCAAGCAACGGCTAGCTAAGCTAATAAGCTAACTTTAGCTAGCCGTTGTAAAATCCTTCTGTTGACACGAATACAACGAGAAAAGAAAAAAAGGAGTTACGCCGTAAACATTTAAAGTTGTTTCAAATAAGTTAGTTGACCGGGAGAAATTGAAGTTTTAACAGAGTGACAATAGTAATGTGGAAGATACATAAATGAAAGCATTTTTCATTTCATTTATGTACGAAAAAGGATGGGGCGATGATTCCCGTGAAACAACACCGGTTTCGTCAGAAGAAGATCCGGGTCACTCATCAAAAAATCTGATGCAAGCTTCAACACCACCCTGTAACAAGAGGAGCTACACCCTGTTAGCAAACTGTGACATTTTTTATTTCAACAGAAGACGTTTTATAATTAATTGAATTAAGTACAACTTTTTGTAAAACATTTAAATACTCTTATTTAAGTAAAATACATTAAAGGTCTCACTTAATAACAAAGTATGAGCATTAAGTTCCACATTTTGAAAGTAATCAACTTATTATGCAGACAGCCCATTGCAGAATATATGGGCCACATAATGGCATTTTTTATTATTATAAGTATTGCTTTAATGTTGCATCATGAAAACGTTGGGCTTATTTTAACTACTTTAAATACAGCCCGGTAGCTTAAGTTATTAGTTATAATTTATTAGTTGACTTATATTTAGTCTGAATGATATGAATCTTTAGAGTGACTGAAGTTATCAAATACATGTATTTGATAAAGATATTGGCTCACAAAACTGCAGTGGAATACAATTAAGTACAAGTTAGAGAGTGCAAGAGTTATTATAAAATGGAAATAGTCAAGTAAAGTACCTCAAAAGTGTACTTTTGTGATAAGTAAAGGGTAGTGAAAAAACTTGTACTTGAGTCAATTAACTTTGTACAATTTTATGCCATACTTTTATAAGTACATGTACTTCCTTTTAGAAACAAATGTACTTATAAAATACAATGCTTTGTTACAGTAACTTGAGCCACACAGCGTCCAAATAAATAAAAAACTTTACCGAGGCCATTAAAAGGCATCTTAAATATAATGTAATAGTATTATAATAATTTAACAAGCGCAAAGCATCTATGGCTGCACGGTATGTACCTTTATACTTATAGAGTAATGTAAACTTACTTGATAAAATGTTTCCTAAAGTATCATTTTGAATGGAGTTTTACTTGTAAGTTGTTTTCTAATCATTGTATTGCTACTTTCCCTCTTTATATAACATGCAGGTTTAAAACTGCTTATTTTATTAAAAACTGTTTATTTTACTGTCACAAAGTTTATTTCCATTTTGACTGCTCAAATATCACTTTAATTTGTTCTGCCATCTAGTGGCTGAAGAGAGGAATTGAAGCCATTCACAGGGTTCCTGCAGGTATCGCCAACTCAAATTTAAGACTTTTTAAGACCTTTTTAAGACCACTTCTAATAGAATTTAAGACCTATTTCACGGCAAGAAAGTATGAAGGAACATTGCTATGAAAGAAGAAATACATCCCATAATTACTTACAAAGTAAATATATTCATGTTCAACATAAGAACAATGACTGAATATAACAGCATAACAGTACAGAACTGTGTTAGCCAAAAAGTGTGTATGTGTGTTAGGGCTGAGCAATTAATCGTGTTTAAATTTTGGCCTGCCACAATTACGAAAACAAAATAATCGAAAAAAAATATTATTTAGCTTTGCTAGGTTGCATGCCCGGCGCCGTGGGAGGGCCAGGCCCTCCCATTTGACATTCCTGCCCTCCCCCAATAAACACGTTTTTTATTATTTATAAAAATAAAAAATATATATATTTTATTTTTTAAATTATAAATAAACTGCAAACTTTTATGCTACGATGTATGTGATGTCAGATAGTAACTAAAGCAGGACCAATACACGCGCAAAATGAATCTCCTGCCATAAACCTACGCAGCGTTAGTGTTTGTAACCTGTGCGCGCATGACTTCCGTCGCGCAGTATGAGGACTTACTTTTTCATTAAATTATAAATTCTGATACTTAACTTCAATTTGAAATTGTAGGACCGAATTCGCTTCCTTCTTCTCAAACTAGAGAATAGACCTGGATAAGGACGGGCTCGTCCCCGGAATATGATGCTTAACAAGTGTAAGACCTAACAAACTCAAATAGGCCAATGAATTAGTTGTTGGGCGAGAGCGATTTGACAGAGCCTGATCACGACGCATGGCAGCGGGCTTGCCATCCGACATGTTTTCAAAACCAAAGTCCAGGCAATTGCCTTCAGCCCTTGCCATGACCGAGCGTTTTTGATTCGAGAATCATAAAGAGAACAACAAGATTGTAGATTTGAAAAAAAAGGTAATTAGCCATATTACAAACAGAAAGAAAAAAAACACAACACACCAACACAAAAAAAAAAAAAAAAAAAAACGCAACATACCGCAAGCAGGTAACTAAGAATAGCTAAAACAATATAGCGAATGAACCAAGAACACAACCACCACACGCACACACAAGCAGTCCCCCTTCATCACTACACTAACCGAGAATATGTAAAGCAACTGTCAAACTGACATGTACGAGAGATGCAAATAATGAACACTAATAATCCCAACAATTGTCACACATTACCAATATCAGATGAGACAGAGATGAAAGTCGTATCCAAAAATAACCCTGAATCCGAGCTCAGATCAGTCCTGCACACCATACATCATAACCCACATTCCCACCCACTCCCACAATAATTACTACAAACTATTGCGACTCATCAGAAAGACATCAACCGCCCCGCAAGTCATACTCAAGACCACCAATCTCTATCACCGTATTTCACAACACCAATGTCAACATAACACACACCCTAACATCTCCGTACCTCTCCACATCACCAAAATTCGACTCCCTAAACCTTAAACCATACCTCGCAAAACGTATACTCATCATGACCTCTTACTCTCAAACCACCATCAAAACCACCCCCGCTAACCAACCTCGTGCTCAACGACAATACCAGTACCGGCACCTAATATACCTCCAGACCAGGACACTGGAACTTCCCCAACACCTCAAACCCAGCCTCCGACAGACTCAAACTCACCCTCAGGTCCATGCCGTCGTGAATGATGCTCGCGCCAGCCAGACCACCCACCGCCCCTCAAGTCGTATTTCTCTTGCCACCGCCACAACACACAGACACAAACCAGCACTACAGACTTAGTGTTAAAAGTAAACCCAGAGCACCCCCAACAAATCTTTGACGCTCCGGCGCCCACCCAACGGCCTCAGCGTCAACGCCACACCAACCAAACACACAACAAACACAGCACCACACACCACACCACAGCCCACCCAAACACAAAAACCACAACCCCAACCAACCACCGCGCGCCAAGGCGGACATGTAATTTCCGCACGACGCACGTGCCGTCCACTCCCAGCGGCCTCGCTCGGTGTAGCCGAACGCGTCAAGAAATAGCGATTAACAAAATCGATTTAATTTAGGAACGGGAAATTCGGTTAAAACTACAGGTAAAATATAATTTGTGCTTTCCCTTCAGAGCTTACGTGTATTGTTTAGTCTATCCCGCCGTCCACACACGACACTAACCCCACGGTTTACCCTGGCTTAGTATTGTCGTTACGTA